GCATAAACAGAGCACCGAGGAGGAATATTCAGCTGCTGGAGAAGTTTTCAATCCCGCTGGCAGCGGGAACACGAGCAGAGCACAGGACAGAGCTCTGGGAAGAGGCAGAGCTGCCAGGGCAGGGAGTGGAGAATTCTGGACACCAATAAATCCCAGACCCAATCCCAATCCCGTGTCCCAGTCCTGATCCCGTGTCCCAATCCCAATCCCATATCCCAGCCCCAATCCCTCACCCCACAGGACACCCAGCCCCATGGGTGCACCAATTTTTGCCGAGCTGAAGACAAATCATCGACCAGAATGAGATTCCTTTAAAATAAAGCGTTACGGCTCAAAAACGCTGATTATATAAATGCCTCAACTTCGCTCTTTTCCCTCCCCCATCCTGCAGAAAATAAAGTGTTTTTCCAAAAGCTGGATTATTGTGCCATTGTTCCCAGTGCAGCTTTCCCAAGCACTGCTGAAGTTCTGATGAGGAACCTTCCCAGCGATCCCATTCTGGCAGCAGAGAGGGGTAAAATGGTGCCATCGAGATTTGGGGGCAGAGCAGCTCCAGGAGGAACTGTGGGCCTGATCAGGAGAGGGATAAACCCAGGAAGAGGGGAGGGAGCAGCCTGGGAAATGTGAGTGGAGCCACCCAAAAACGGGCACAGGGAGAGCAGGGGATGGCATTGCCAGTCAGAGCCATCCCAGTCTGACAGAGGGTCAGCGCTGAGGGAGGGGGGAAAGGGGCTCAGCCTGGAGAAATGGGGGAATGGGGGGACCTGGTGGCTCTGCACAACCCTGGACAGGAGGGGACAGACGGGGGGTCGAGGTCTGATCCCAGGGGACAACAGGACAAGGTGGAATGGCCTCAGGCTGGGCCAAGGGAGGTTTAGGTTGGACATCAGCAGGAATTTCTGTATGGAAAGGGAGGCCAGGCCTTGGAAGGTTGGACATCAGCAGGAATTTCTCCATGGGAAGGGTGGCCAGGCCTTGGCAGGGGCTGAGGTTTGCAGTGCCCATCCCTGGAGTGTCCCAGGAATTCCTGGATGTTGCACTCTGGAANCGGGCTGATGGGAGTGTGAAAATGAGTGTGAGACCCCAAACCAGGCTGATGGGAGTGTGAAAATGAGTGTGAGAACCCCCCGGGCTGCTGTGAGTGCAAATGGGAGTGTCAGATCCCAAACTGGGCTGATGTGACTGCAAAAACGTGTGTGAGAACTCCCTCGGACTGCTGTGAGGGCAAAAACGAGTGTGAGACCCCAAATTGGGCTGATGTGAGTGTAAAAACGAGTGTGAGATCCCAAACCGGGCTGATGTGAGTGCAAATGGAGTGTGAGACCCCAAACGGGGCTGATGTGAGTGCAAAAATGAGTGTGAGACCCCAAACCGGGCTGATGTGAGTGGAAAAATGAGTGTGAGACCCCAAACCGGGCTGATGGGAGTGGAAAAATGAGTGTGAGACCCCAAACCGGGCTGATGTGAGTGCAAAGGGAGTGTCAGATCCCAAACCGGGCTGATGTGAGTGGAAAAATGAGTGTGAGACCCCAAACCGGGCTGTTGTGAGTGTGAAAATGAGTGAGACCCCAAACCGGGCTGATGGGAGTGCAAAAATGAGTGTGAGAACCCAAACCAGGCTGATGTGAGTGTAAATGGAGTGTGAGACCCCAAACCGGGCTGATGTGAGTGTAAAAATGAGTGTGAGACCCCAAACCGGGCTGATCTGAGTGTGAAAATGAGTGTGAGACCCCAAACCGGGCTGATGGGAGTGTGAAAATGAGTGTGAGACCCCAAACCTGGCTGATGGGAGTGCAAAAATGTGTGAGACCCCAAACCGGGCTGATGTGAGTGTAAAAATGAGTGTGAGACCCCAAACTGGGCTGATCTGAGTGTAAAAATGAGTGTGAGACCCCAAACCGGGCTGATGTGAGTGTAAAAATGAGTGTGAGACCCCAAACCGGGCTGATGGGAGTGTGAAAATGAGTGTGAGACCCCAAACCGGGCTGATGGGAGTGCAAAAATGAGTGTGAGACCCCAAACCGGGCTGATGGGAGTGTGAAAATGACTGTGAGACCCCAAACCGGGCTGATGGGAGTGTGAAAATGAGTGTGAGACCCCAAACCGGGCTGATGTGAGTGTAAAAATGAGTGTGAGACCCCAAACCGGGCTGTTCTGAGTGTAAAAATGAGTGTGAGACCCCAAACCGGGCTGATGTGAGTGCAAAAATGAGTGAGACCCCAAACCGGGCTGATGTGAGTGTAAATGGAGTGTGAGACCCCAAACCGGGCTGATGTGAGTGTAAAAATGAGTGAGACTCCAAACCGGGCTGATCTGAGTGTAAAAATGAGTGTGAGACCCCAAACCGGGCTGATGTGAGTGCAAAGGGAGTGTCAGATCCCAAATCGGGCTGATGGGAGTGTAAAAACGAGTGTGAGAACCACTCCAGACTGCTGTGAGTGCAAAAATGAGTGTGAGACCCCAATCCAGGCTGCTGTGAGTGCAAATGAAG